CATCACCACCACCATTGGCATCACCCAAATAAGTAGTTTAATGTTCAGTTTGCTCATGAGTTTTGGAATGCGTGCAAGTAAACGAGCTAGCAAACGAACGAACGAGCTGAATCGAACAAGCCAAAGTACAATTGTACCATTAAAGTTTTCTTGGCAGGACCTTTTATCCCTTCGAAAAGAACCATTACAAGCAACGACAATGGCAAAAAGAACAACAATAAGAAAGAAAAACTTGACAAAAAGAATTACATGCCTTTGGAAGACGGTAAAGGATATAAATGTATATATGTTGAGCGCGCGCGCACCCGCGTCGTTCATATCAAAACACTGTGCACGAAAGCAGTTGCAAAGTCTGAGAGAATTAAGAGAGCTTCGGCTCAACTTTCTATTCTCTTCACATATATATGCATTAAAATCGTTCGTATCGTCAAAATCACATACGCATAACGGACACTGCGAATTTGCCTCGTCTACAGTGCAAAGAGTGGAAGAAAAGTCTTAGCCAAAATCAAATCGAAAATATTATTTTCATTAAATCGAAATGGAAAATCAGTAGACAAATTTATTCGATTTTATCGGCCATTTCAAAAAGTCTATACCAATTGAAATCAAAACAGAAAAAACAAAATCGAAATCGTTTGATTTTGTGTTGTCAATACAATTTGGTGAACGAAATGTTGGTCAGTTTCACGGATAAACATTTGGCTCTTTAATTTGCCATGTGAAACGTGAGTTTTCAGAAAAGAGAAGAAAAAAAAACCACCAACTCACATTCATTGTACGCACGCACACAGCAATCATTGTCCTGCACGTTTCGCACATAGCAACTTGGGAGAGCAAAAGAAACGAGAGCTTTGTGTAACGGTCGCGTTTCAACGACGAAGTTCGAATTTTCTTAAAACTTCACACTTCGCATTCACATCACTTTCCGGGCCCGCACATACACAAAACAGCCGATGGATAAATTCAAAGTCAAAATAGTTTCAAACAAACATAACGTACATGTTTTGAAAACGCATCGCACATTTTCGTCGTTAGAGGCGAGAACGCGATGATGATGATGGCAAGAGGCGCGCAGCAAGTACCACAACCGTCTGCGTATGCCCATGCGAAACACACACACACGATTCGATTTATCTCAAAGACTAATCGCTGTAATAACAATACTAAAATACATATCAAACACTTTATCCATTGTTCGTTCGTGTTCATGTGCTTTCGGTAGATGAACAACAAAGTACATGGACTGAAGCAGCCCCCATTCCATTCCATCTCGGCACGGCTTGTCCCGTTTTTCGCTCACACTGTGGGTCGGGGCAAGCAAATCAGTGAAAAGCCGAAACGAGGAAAAACAGTGAAAGAGAGCGAGAGAGGAAAATCTTTTTGACGCACATGCCGAATGAATGCGTAAATGGGAACACGCACGTCTGATTTCCAACTATAAATCTATATGGTTTTGTAAAGTGTGTACTTAAACGGTAATACCTTCGCTACACGTTACTGAGACCAAGCATAAGCACAAGCACACACAGTGTTGGAGTAGATGGAACGAGGGACAATCTATCGAATTTCATCTCGTACATTCAATGGGCAAATTCAATTCGTTTTTTCTTCTTTCAAGTTTTTTCCTCTTGCATAAAATATCTTTTGTGAGACTTTGGTTGTTATTTAACCGACAATTTCTATTGCCTAATCTCATTCTAAACGCATATTTGACTTGCGATAGCGTGAATCAAATATTTGTTTATTTGCCCGTCACACCATATGATTCATAGTTGCTGCTGGAATTGCTGAAAGAATATTTTTCGCAATAAATCAAAATATTTTAATTGACAGAGAGAGAGAGAGAGAGAGAGACAGAGTGGGAAAAATGTTTTAAAATTCAATAGAATTGACAGCATTTGCATTCAACGATGCATATTTGGCATTGTTACATTCCTATTCGTTACCGTACTTTTGGTACTTACGAGAAAAAACGGAGAAAACGAGAGAAGGAAAATGATCGAAAGTATCTCAAATATGTACGCAAGGGTTAAAACTGTTTCTCGTTACCTTTTCTGATCTTTGCTCGCACATCATTTCTGCCATGAAGCACAGCACACGTCGACGGTTGCTTTACAAACCAACGTTGAGGATGATGACAACAACAGTAACAAAAACTAACTTTCAACCCATTTCCATGTTCGCTCGACGAGAAGCAAGTATTTCCCACTAACTGGCGCCTATTTCACTCATACCGCCGCTTGGCGTCGTTGTCATGATCATCATCGTCATCATCATTGAAACCATCCGTTGATAAATTTTCCCTTTTCAGCGTACGAGTGAGCCAGTGTGTGTATGTGTGTGTATGTTTATGCTTGAACGGTTGACCATCATGCTCTCGCTTTGATTATGTGCGTATGTCGATGATGTTGTTTGCAGTACATGACCGTTAGTTCGTAGTTGAACAATAGATTTACAGTATATTTGAAGCATCAATCCATTTACGCGCAAGGAAAATCTCTTGCATACGTGAGCGGCAGTGGTGGCAGCGACCAAGGTGCTTATACACAGGCCATACAATCGTTACCATCTTACTACTTCGATGATGTTTATGCAATTGAACCATCGACCGTTCTCAACAATGGTGGGTAGAAGTCAGTGAGACACGAATGAACGGGACAGAACTGCACGAAGCACAAATGAACGAAAGGAACGGAGAAAGATAGAAGAAAACTCCATCCATTTGGCATTTGATCGCAAAATACCGGAATGGGTTTGCGTTTCCATTTGGCAATAGATGAAAAATATATCGAAACAATGTACGCAAGCATTTCGTACACATGCGATATGGAGAGTGAGAGAAAAAGAGAGGATAAGGCACAAAGTTTGGTTCATTTAGTTTGTGTGCCATCCGAAAATGGCTGGACCGAGTGTATGTGTGTACCGAAAAATCTCTTACATTATATCCAAATGTAACACATAAAAAATTTACAGGAGGACACACACACAACATACACACAGAGCACAGAAGAGAAAAAAAACTTGTGTGTACGCATACAACATACGTCTCAGGCAATATAACATTTACTTGATATATGATTGTGCTTTGAAAAGAAGACGAATCTTAAACTTTTGTCACGATGCCCACATATCCATATTTATCATCCATTGAATAGCCGTTACATAATACCGGACCAGCTCCTTTTGTGTGCACACACTAACACTCACACACATAAAAAAAAGTTTCTCATCTAAAACGAAAATGTTTGTTTTAGGTTCTTTTAAAGAGTTTTTCTTTCTCAGCCCATGCTCATTTCCACAAGCCGGAGTGTG